AAAAAAAAAAAAGAGAAAAAGGAAAAAAAGGCACGCTCCGTTTTAGATCTGTCGTTGATTTAAAATTTCACGTGTCGTTGAGTTTGTAGTGTTAATAAATTCCTCTTTCAGATTTTCATTATTTCCTTCTCAGTGACTGATTTATTGAATTTTTAATTCTTTTATTAATATGTTAGTTAAAGGGAGAATGTTGCGTATCTTGTTTGAGATTGACGGATTAAAATATTTGCAAATTCTAGATTTTGCTCTGAATCTGTAAATATAATGCAATACCTTATAAAAATATTTTCAGTAGCTCGAATGATTGCAGAAATAAATTCTTAACTTCGCGTTTTCACGAGTAAAAATCCGGATTATATCAACTGACAGATTCAATGTATAAACAGTGATAGAATGTTGCAAATTTCCGACAGTGAGTGAAACACTTTTGTGTTTAAATTTCCAATGTTGAATTATATTATTATTTTTTTAAATTAATATCGAAGTAAACTCTACTTTGACTCGTTCACTCATACAGTTCAATTTCATATGATATTAATATTATTAATGCTTAAGTTTACTAATGCATTTTGTTTTCTTATCGCGTTTGTTTATATGTGTGTGTAAGCTCTCGCGTACTTGCATATTACCGTGTTATTAAATATCGAAATCAGTGTTATCTCTGTGAAGGAAAATCGAGGATTTTTTTAAACAAAAGAAAGAGAGAGAGAGACACACATATATATATATATATATATATATAAAATACGAATGTTGAAACGTTTCATTGAAAAGAAAACATTGTATAATATTATTGAAAAGGAAGTCGGAAAAATTCTATTACACACTCGAGATATTAATGTTTTCATAAAACTAGACTCCAGAACAAAACGTTTTTCGTCGTTTAAATACGTTCCTCCCCGGAACGTGATCCGAATATGTATTTCGCGATACAAATTTTTTTTTAACTTCTTTCAAGCGCAAAATGTCTGAACTGAATGTTATTCAAATCAGAGAATTAGTCCGTGGAATGTTTAAACGCTTGTTGAATTGCAAACAGTCACTTTATCCAATTACTTTCATTCACAACATTTTACGAATCATAAGCTTTAAGTTTCTTAATAGTTAATATATATTATCTCATATTTAGTGGAATCGACAGAACATTTGTACATCATAACTATTTTCTTCCATTACTTGTAAACTATTATACGATTCGCCAAAATTACATTATAGATCATAACATAATATAAAATTATATTGTACAGTTCGGAAAAATTGCTACATCGGTTTCATAACAGTGGATATTACAGACATTATCCGATATTGGAAACGAATTATTTGTTATAAATCCTTTTATAAAATATCGAAATATTTCCAGATAAGTATTGCTCCCCAGTCGGAAGAGAATGAACATTCAGAATTAGTTATTCTTTCAAGGATTTCGTTCTTTCAACAACACGTTGTGAATCGTGCGTCGATGAAAGATAAATAAAGAACATCGAACGTTATTTATCTAAAATATTTAATACCATTCGCTCCATTCACTACTTCGCACTATCATTTATTCCATGCTTTACGAAACTCTTCCAACGATGAAACATCGAGTACTCGACAGTTCTACAAAGAACTGTTTAAGAGAATTCGTTTCCGAGAAAGGCGGGGAATTTTTCGAAAGAAGGCTCGTAAAACATCCTGGAAAAATAGTCTCGGATAAATTTAGATTTCTCTCCTGCGTTTCGCTGTTTCTGTTATATCAAATATTTGATGCAATCAACTGGACTTTCCAATACCAGCAATAGAGATACAGTGCAATAGCAGTACCAACGTTTCTCTGGATTTATTTTATCTGAAATCGTGACACTCGACGGATTTTTCGAGGCAGAAGTTGTCGAACTGTTACAACTTGGCGAAGAAGAATCATACAATAATTCGCCTGGATACGTTTCGAAGGAGGAAGCCTCTACTTTCACCTTCGTAAGTTGATTTCCCGCGAACATGCTTTCACACTAACAAGCGACTTTTCTCTTCGGAAATTCTACGAAAAATCAAACGACTCTGCGTAGAGTTGAAAAAAAAAGAAAAAAAATTCCTCATCGCCACTCGAGTCATTGTCAGTTAAGATGTCGAAGCCTAGTTTTTGCAATAACCCTTTTATTTTAAATTTCTTCCGAGGTACAGAATGAAATATTTCTACTTTAAGTAATTTCCTTCGCGAATAATAATTCAAGAATCGATAATACATGCAATTGACAAGCGACTCCCTTACGAACGCTAAATATTGAGACAGTTACAACTTCGTAAAAAGACTTGAGCTCGTTTTAAAGCTTGAAGCCTCTATTAAAATACAGCGTTCATTTTATTCCAAGATGTTCTTAGACTACGCGACTACGAGATAGAAACGTTTTAGAATAATATGAACGACGTGTTTCGAAAACAGAGTATCCGAGCTGTAAAATGAGCCTGAATTTATTACTTTATCATTGCAATTACAACAGTTTAAATATTTATGGTCCGAATATCAATAGCAGTCACGTGTGCATCCACATACCGAAGCAAAAGTTAGTCTGCAATTGAGAAACAAGTATGAATCAATGAGACAAGATGATGTTCTACTGGAAATATAATACCGATCGATCGGAACGTTTTATTCAGCGTGGTTCTTTTATGTAACCGGAAATATTGGACTTTGCTCCTTTTTTTTTTTTTCTTTCACCCCTAACGTATCGATAGAGCTGGCATGTTTCGCAGAAGCTCCAGAGGGAGTTGCAACGTAAAATGCATTTTTCTTCCCTAACTTAATATTTATGCGAATGTACCGAGTCGTGAGGTGGTATCGGTTGTTCCATTTTATACGATTTTCCGTTTGACGTTAATACGATATCACCGGTGGCATTAGTAACTTAGGCTCTTTATTCAATAAGCAAGTAAATGTTACAGACTGCACGTGTATCTTGTATCTTCTCGGTATTGTGAACCGTAGCATCTTTTATGTTTCAATGTGCACGTAGTCTCACGAGAAAGAATATTCAGACTCGCAGATTCTGATAAATTCTTTGTCAAATTGATCAGTCGCGAAGTCGAGACTTCCTCTTAAATGATACGTAATTTCGATTTAATTGAAATAACACGTAATTAAATCCGAGTAAATAAACTACATTCTTAGAAATATTAATAATTAAATAATCATTCCTCTATTTACGTGTTTCCTGTTCGATCTAGTTGATCCACAAATTTAATATAATTGCCGCTACACGCAACAGGAGAACGAAAGACACGAAATTAAGCTTCGCCTCGATCTCTTCAACGCATGTAGCCGTGTACAGTCATTGCCATCTTAATGACAGCTCTTCAACCCCGTCTGGGCAACATGATTTTCACGGATCACGTGTTCCCCACAAATGTAGAGTATAGAAACTGCGCACGAACTCACCCAATATAAAGAGAAAGAAACGTGTACGTACTTACATAAATCACGACCAGGCGTGCATTTAAGTTTTCTTCGCTTGCTAAAAATAGGTCAGACAGACGATTGGATTTTCCAAAGTTGGCTTTTTCTTTGACGGACGAATCCATTTGTGCAAGAAAGTGGAATTTAACTGGAGATAACAAACATCGGACAGTAAAGAGGATATTCGTAACGTTATACTCGTTCTCAAAACTGTTATTAAAATATTTACCGTGCACTTTGCGCATCTCTTTTAAAAATCTTCTAACAATTCTGCTTGAATTTAATTCTCAAGCCGTTTGTTATTATTATTATTAAAACGTATTTAATGAATTTACTTAGAAGAGCAAAGTAACGTGTTGCTCGCATGTGATTAAAAAATTTTATATCCTCTTCAATACCCTACAAATATACGTATAATAAAAATTTTCACATCTCTTTCGTAGGAAGTTCTTCAAGGAATTTAGCAAAAATTATTTCGTTCAGTGGTGAGATCGATCTAATTAAACGATTAATAATAAGCAAGGTACCAATGTCAATTTCGTTAGGATAGATATTTATTTCAATCGAATTATCTTATTACAACTTGAAATCGATGTAGATCGATTAAATATAAACCGAGGCCGAGACGTAGCAATTAAGTGAACTATCATTCTCCGTTTTGTCCTCCACGTTTTATTGCCGCTTCGTTTTACTTCGCTTTGCGAAGATTTAACGCTTCTGCGGAGTTATTCTAACGGCATAATGAAAGAAGAAAATACGTGACGGCAATTTCGCCGCTTTGTAAGCATAAATGAGCTCTGATAGTGAAATCTGTATTATCTAAGCTAACGAGGAAAGCTGCCACACTGTTTAACGAAACTTTCCCAGCTCGCAGTACTCGTCAAGCACATTCTCATTTGGACGCTGCGCCTAATTGTTTACGATGTACATACACGTTAACAATTGGAATTAAGCCACGCCGTGTATCTCGAAGTAATGCTGATTTAGATTCTCTCGTTGTAACAGTGGCACGTCGTCCAACGTGTCTTGAAGATGTCTTCATGTAGAATGAAAAAGGAAATAAAAAGGGGAGAAGAATATTCCAACGGCGTTCCAAGTTTCACCGAAAAACAAACTTTCTCTGGCTGTCCCAAATAGCAGGAGAACATTATATAAATACCTCTGTGCAAAAGTTATGATAAAGATATGATACGTACAGTGCTGCGGTCGCTATGCTGCCTGTCAATATTTTACTCCGGAATACTTTATTTCGACGAAATATTGAATTGATTTTTCTATAAAGTTCATTTCAACCTCGATCAATCCACACGTATTAATATTTGTTTCACATGAGCTTCTTTTTTTTTTTTTTAATTTTCATTCTCCACGCATGAAGGATTGATCGTGTAAAATTGAACGAGATACGTGTATTTTCCTTAATTAATCGTTTGCAGATGCATTGAACACTACGACAGGTTGTCAACAATTTGTTTGAAATCGCAGAACGAACTTCATCATTTTTAGAAAAATATCGGCTCGCTTCGGGAGTTTTTACGGTTCCCAGAATTTCGTTACCAAAATTCATTTCATTCGTTCCGTTCGATTTATATTTTCCTACGGCTGCTTAATTGTTATCTGTGTTTATACAATATATATATAGAAAAGTTTCCAAAATTTGCAAAACATTCCATGCAACATAGATACACGGCCGAGTTAATTCAATAGTCACAGTCGATGAACACTGATTGTTGAACTCTGTTTTATTTCTGTCATTCGTCCACCTTGCCGGTGGTCGTGCAATAAAAATTCCACGAATATTTGCTTTATTTCCAAATCTGTTATATTCGTGTTTAAGGAAAAGAAAAAGGGAGAAAGAGAGGGTGCTCGTCGATAAAAATCGATAAATCGATACCTACGAAGATAATTACTTATGCATATTTAATAGATGGATGAGAAAAAGACACGCTGGCGAGAGAATCGCGTCAGATTTTAATATCTCCGCGGAGAGTTCTCCGAAGGTGGTAAATCATCCGAAAAGAAATGAAACTACAGAAGACCGTCTAAGATCACGCCCACGGAGAATTACGGTGAGACAGGATCGCACTGATACGAGTGTAAAGAAGTGGCAAAAAATTGTTTAATCTCTCGTGCATAATTGAAACTTGAATCCTGTATTTTTATCCGTGGGACGCAAAATTTGTTCGCGAAGCGGGCTGGCAATGATTACTAAGGAAACACAGTGATTTGCAAGCAGCAAGAGGAAGCGGTTTTTAAAAACGATTTTAAAGAGTGGAAATACGGAAAGATGAGGAAAATTTCATGGAAAATAATCCTCTCCTCGTGAAAGCATTATTTCATTGACAAGGCAGATCTGAATTTACTTTTCACACGAACCGCGCCACTTTGTATAAATTTATTTACAGCAATGCGGCGAGTTGAATGGTTTTAGAAATAAATAACAGAGACACTGGAAGACTGTGAGTGTCAGGGAAAAAAAGTATCTCGAGAATTCCAGCAGCCTGTTAATTAACGTCGTAGTTCAACGAAAGGATAAAAATCGAGAAAAGCCAAAAGTATCGTAGAGATTTCATAGTGACCGAAGAAACAGAATTTAAATAGAAATTTGCCTCGCCTAAATATTTCACAACAAATACTTCTGCTGAATATTACAACGAATATTTCACTTCGGGCAGTATGTATATTCTACATATTTCCTCGTGGCGGGCGCATTCTGTAAATTTCCGCACCTTTGAATTTTCCAGAAATATTTTCCGCGAAAAAGCACAGCTCTGCTTTCGAAAATATCACCTTACGGTCTCTTCCCTCACTTCCCGCTGTGCAGCTCGTAAATAAAAACAATAGGAAATTCCCTGTTTAAATATCAAGCCGGGAAAATTTCAATTTCATTCGAGCAAGAAGGGGAAACGTAAATGTGGCCGAGAGCTTAAATCCATCGTCAATTACTGCAACCGTTGGCTATCGAAGTGGATTTGTGGAATGCAATTTATAGAAGCAATCTGCAACTTACAGAAGCCACGTTAACACAAACAGAGGGAAAAGTCCACTGACGAAAAAAAAAAAAAAAAAAGAAAGAAAGAATGAGCCTCTGGGATCCATTTGTTTCGCAACAGAGCAATTATCCTACACATGAAATATAGAATTACAAGGGAATTTTTCAATGGAAAGAATTATGGTGGTTGCGGGCGTGAAATCCCGGTTTTATAGGACTTGAATTAAAATATAGCCGTACGGTGTAGAATCAATAAACCCTGGTATTTTCAAACTTGTGGCGTGGCTCGTGAGGAATAAAATCGTGTAATTGATAAATTATCAAACATAGAAACTGGAGATATCACTCATAAACGGAGATGAAAGGACACACGATTCTTTCGCTGAACAATTAGAGGTAACGTTACTACCTGTGATTTAACAATCACGTGTGATTCGCAATCAAACGTGCAACACAGCTGCGCGATAAATATCACTCGAATAAAAATCGGAATATTTTTCGCGGGAAGCATTAGCAGAGAATATTCAAATGTCCGACTTTGCGAAAGAGAATTTTCCAACGTCGCGTGAAAAATGCAGCCTGTCAGCGATTCACAAGAATCCCAAAGTAGAAACAGAATTATTTACAACCGCGTGATAGAATATCCTCGGAATGCAGATCTCTTTTTTTTCACAAGTATCCCGTAGCACAGTTGTCAGTGTGTGACTTGTAAATGATCACTACATGTACAAGTAGCACAATCGAGCGAACTTTTGTCAGATTTCTTTCTAGAGGAACGTTAGGAGTCTATCGCATTGCGCATGGATTTTATTCATAGTCACATTTTTATTCATAGGTGTCAAGTTCCATCGGTCAATCGCCATGCGGCGCGGTGAAAGAAGAAAAGGGAATGCAACGTTTGGAGGCTATGTTGTACGCCCTCGACGAAATAAACTCGGATAAAGAGTTACTGCCAAACACCACGTTAGGCGCGCTTATCCTCGACTCCTGTAGCAGCGACACGTACGCACTTGACCAAAGTATGGAATTCGTTAGATCGTACATGAATCAAGTAAGTCGTTACATAGTATTATTCATAGTTTCATACTTCAATATCAGAACAGGTGCACTGGGAATTTTTTTTTTTTTTTTGTGCATTTCTGGAACTATTTCTAGAACAATCGATAAAACGTGTACGTGGCACACGAAGATAATCCAAAAGTTATATATATATATATATATATATACGACGAGTACGATATTTGATTTTCAAAACTTTGCAAACTCTTTGTGAAACATTGTTTCATCTTTTTCCATTGTAAAATTTTGAAATTCTGTTGCCTGTGACAAATACTGAGCAACAAAGGTAAAAAGTGTCC